GGTCTTTCAGTTAAAAGATATACAATGCCAAACACCTGAGTCTGGGATGGTTCCAGAGCTACTTCCTATTACCACCACTTTGTGAGCTTGGCCTAGGGATGCCAGCCCCCAGGTGGGTCTAGGGGATCCCCCGGACTTACACCTTATCTCCAGGCTGCAGAGATAAGTTCCCCTGAAGAAAATGGATGCTTTGGAAGGTGGACTCCATGGCATTGTACCCCACTGAGGTCCCTGTCCTCCCCAGGCTCCACCCCCAAATCTCCAGGGGTTCCCCAACCCGGAGCTGGCAACCCTACCCCCCATCCCTTGCTGGTGGCTTAGAGGGACGTGGCAATGTTAATTATGCCATTGTCTGATTATACAACAGTGCATTCTTTGTGGTAGCTCTAGGGTTTCCAATCTCCAGGGGATGGCTGAAGGTCTCCTGGCCTTACAACTAATCTCCAGAGATCAGTTTACCTAGAGAAAATGGTCGTTTTGGTGGTGGACTCTACAGCATTCTACCCCATTTTATTTATTTATTTATAGTCAAATTTATACCCCACCCTCCCTGCAAAGCAGGCTCAGGGATGGTTCATGGTTCAGGAACTGAAGTTCGTGGCAAGTCAACCAGCACAAACTTTCCAAAAACATTCAAGCAGTTCCTGGCAGTTCATGAATGGATTCATTTCCAGACAGACTGTCTCCACTCAATCAAAATGTTTACCAAACTTCAAAGCAACAGGGGAGCAGAATTCTTTTTTTAAAAAAATGTTTTATTCCCTCTCCTAAAAAGGAGAGATATTTCGCTTAAAATTCAGAAAAATAGGAAGGGTATATAGAGGGATAAAGAAAAGAGTTGAGTGGTGTTAATGTATTAGTATATTATTCTTTTAATGTTAAAAGTTAAAGTCCATAATTTCTTTTGCAGTCAGGCGCTCTTCTTTTCTTCTGTCTCTGTTAACCAAAGCAATTAATATGTTAGTAGTGTCCTTCTGAGATTAATTTCCCTTTCAAAGTGTAGTCCGAAAGAAAAAAAGTTTCTAAACTTTGGGGTCTTTTCCTCTTTTTTCTCTCAGGTTGTACTTCGAGCCAGTCGCTCCTCTGGCTTCCTCGTCTTTCACCTCTCCCTCCAAGCTGCTGTCTTCCCCGCTTAATCCCGACATCCACTTGGCCAGTTCTGCCTCTTCTTCTTTGCTGGCGTGCCTTTTCAAAAAATCTTGAGCCTTGAAGATAGAGTCTATTTTTTCTCTTTTATCTTTAAACTTGAAAGCCAGTCCTTCGGGCACCAACCATTTATAACTCGTTTGATGATTTTGTGAGAACATGGTCAACCCTTTGTATTCCTTTCTTTTCATTCTGATTTCAAATGGAACATCTTTCAGAA